TTACACTAACAATAAAAAAACATTTCCTTCTATCCATAATATAAAAGGAAAATAAAAAGCAATTATTGCTCGTTTTCTTTCATAAATTTTCATTTACCTCATTCATCTGAGTAGTAATACCTATTTCTTATAATTACCGACTTGCTGAGGTAGCAAAGAACGTATATAAATAAAAAAAAAAGTAATAAACTTGTTGATGTTATATTTTTTTCCGGGTTGATGTCGTAATTCCTTTTTTGCTAATGACAACGCACGTATAATAAATCCATCTCTTGATTAACTCGCAGAATCAAATTGCATGACACCAAAAAACCAATTAACGTCATGCAACAAGTTAAAAAAAATCGGCTAATTTAATTCAGCTTTTTGTGTAATTTTTAAAATTGGGATGATTAACTGAAAACGTTTGGTTTGGTGTTAAGTTATTAGTTTAAAGAGATTAGGTAGTGCAGTGAATTATCTCAAGGGATTGATGCTGTTAATTAAGAAAATTAATAGCCTTAGAGCGTCAGCGCTTGGGCCATAATTTTCAACTTGAAAAAAAAAATAGTCCTCACAATTTCAACTTTAATATTTAACTAATTGATATTTACGTTGTCAGGTTAATCCGAGCGCAAAACACAAATGAAAACTATATATTTTCAGAGGGTTAGAAATATATCAGCAGGTTTTTTTTAGGTTTTAAACTGTCCATATTTAGTTTCAGAGTGTTCTCGATGCAATCCGCTTCTATTTATAGACCCATTTGTTTCAAGAATCCACAGTGGGCGGATAGAAATTTGCGGCTAAAGTAAATTTTGCGGCGGTAAAATTTAATTACTTCGCCACTTTGATGAATGAATCAATGCATGAATGGTGGTGATCTTGAAGCGGCAAACCGCAAATGCAATTGAGCGATTTTTAATATACGCCTCAATATCTAATGATCTCCGCATTATGGATTCGTTGAATCTGCAGCTATCGTATTCATGGAATATATGAATGAACGGTTTTCTCCGAAATTCAGGGTTGATTTATTATAATCATCTGCATCACAATTGCGGGTGTTAATAAATCTCGCTGCTCTATGTGTGTAAATTAGGCAAATCACTTTTCTGCGTATGGAGCGGAACACAAAGGAGTTGTGATTCCAACAATTATCCAACAATCGGTGTCTTCTCCCATTTGTTCCCCGCTTCTCACGAATATTATTTATCATAATCTTATCTGCACATACTCATCTTCAAGTTCTGTTCGCAAATATAACTTTACAACTCTAATCTACGCAATAAAACACATTCGAAAAAGTACTACTTTCATGCTTCATTAAGCATATCTCTACCAATTAACCCCAACTAACATCAATAAATGCATCTTGATAGAACAATGTTGCATTATTTCATACATATCTAAACCAAAGAGTCAAACCGAAATTAATTAAATGTTATCGTTTCAGCTTTGGTTTGTCTAAAAAAATTCAAATTGCGATTCAGTTTCGATTAATATTTAGTTCGATAGAAATTTTAAAAATTTCCGAATGATACCGAAATCATTCATAAACTATGAATAAATAGGAAAAAAGTTTACAAATTATATTAGTTAATACGTGAAAATTGTGTATGTATCTTGATGACTTTTCAAACAATTTTAGGAAAAAAAATTGATTAGGTTAAATTAATTTATGACAGTTTGGTACACTCTTTAAGATTGAAGAAAAAAGTACATTTTAGACATTTGATGTGTATTTGTTACCAGAAAAACATTGAGTATTATGTAAAATATTAAATTTTAAGAATTTTACATTAAACATTAAAATTAATTTATTGTTGTTTCAATAAAGACTGTAATCTATCAATTGAAACCTATACCAAAAATTGAATAGAAAATATTATAAATAGTTTTTATTTATTTTCGAATTGAAAACGAGAAAGCAACAATGAATGAAAATTAGCTTAAAGAAAACTGCTTGGATAAAGCGTAAGTGTTGTATTGAATTCGGGAAACTATATTAGCTGCTCAAAAGAAAGTTAGAGTTAAAAAGAAACTTTTAAGATTGAAATACTTCAACAAGTTCAATTGAAAACGCTTCAAAGAATCAGTGTCGTATAATGGAATGTACCCAAAAATGTTATACTCAAAGACGAGTAAATGAAAATAGTTCATTATTTAAATTTCATTAAAAATATCAACATTAAATTTTTATAATCTTCAGTTTCATTTATTACAATTTTAATAAAATAGTAAAACAAAAAACGATTAAATGTTGCAAATATGAAAATATAAACTTTTAATTTAAATCTAATTTGAAAAACTTAAAATTGCTATTATTTTCTTCTGTTTTTCCATAACAAGAATATACAGTGGAACATCGCTTAACGAGTATAGTCCGTTCCAAAATTTCCGTATTGTTACTCGTATAGTGAAACAGTTTTCCCCATAAAAACCAATGTAAAATACAAGAATACGTTCCATGCCGGAAAAAAAAGTACAACTTCTTCTCGATTTCTAACGATTTTGCTTTTTATATCTATGGTTATTTTTATTGTTTGGCTTTTTATTCAAAGATATGTAAGTGTTATTAAAATTTGCACAAAAAACATAACAAGTCTGACACATAACAAAAACACAAGTTTGGAAATATGTTTGATAACAAACAACACTAAGATTCAACTAGAATTACTATATTTGCAAAGTATAGTCCGCTATAAACAAAGATGACAAAGAAAATCGAAAATTGTTAATACAGTGGTTTTTACTCGTATAGAGAAACATACGACTTCTCTTCTTCTCGTCACTGTTAAGCTAGTCATTTTTCTTACAATTAATTTTGCTCGTTAAGCGAAATACTCGTTATTCGAGGTTCCACTGTATATAGATTTCATTAAAACTTATATCCGCACGAAAGTATAAAAAGTAAACTAAATTTTAATTGAATAAAATGATATTAATTCTAAAAATTTCTACACAAAATTATTTCGGTTTAAAAACAAGGCGATAACAATGTGAGGTATTGCTAGAACAATAATTTATTAACAGTACATATTCAATTGTAGAAAATTCTAAGAAATTAAATATTTAAAAAGAAAATGTATCTGCAAAGAAAATGCTTTCAGCGTCTAACCTTAAGCAGAACTTGGATGAAAAATCGATGGTAACCAGTGTCAACAAGTGCAACGTAAAACAGATGCCTACAAGAAAACAAGAGCAATTTCAATATGTACCCAGAACAAAAAAACTATTTGATAGATAAGATGCATTTTAGAAATAACATTTTTAAAAATAATATTTTTATTTGTTGTAAAAATAAAACCTATAAATTAATTTATGAATGATGAAATTATTGGACAAGTGAATTTTGTTTTAATTAACGCAAAACAAACAACAGTCGCACCGAAAAAAGAATATCATGATTAATTTGTGTAATTAACACGTCACACATAATACATTTTGCAGAGGCTGCTACAGTACTAAAATGCGACGCCGTATTTATAATTACGTAGAAAACAAAAACGTGTAAAACAATTCCGCAAATCTATATATATTTTATAAATATATATACATATATAAATACGCGATCCGTTTAATTACTAAATTCTGTGCAACGTCTAAAAATAAATTGAAACTTATTTAAAATTAAATTATTTCCTGTGATAAACATCATTCAAATACTGGTTATAATTGGATGGTTTTTCATCGTATTGAAAAGCTTATTGAAATCGTCAAAATATAAAATAACGCAATTAGAATAAATTCAATGCGAAGGATGAAATAAGACGGTCAAAGACCTTCTTCGGTTCTTTGCATTGCGGATAAAGAAGATTATTATCGATTTTCGAAAGCTGTATAGAAATGTTGATTAAATTATTTCCGTCGTAGTTTTGCGATCCTATTATTACATTCCACAATGCTGCATGTGATATGGTCATTTTGCATCTGTGCAACTAACTTCCATTAAACGAGCACTATTGTTTGAGCAATAGCGAAAATGGCGTCTATAAACGTGACCATTTAAGTAAAATATAGCCTCATCAATGATGAAAATCGATACAAAAGCTTTTCGCAAAATGCATTCATAATCTAAATAACATTAGTACGCTTGATTTGGTATTATCCATGTATACTTAATGTATATGAATATTTATTTTACAATTTATCATATTACAATTTTATTTACGTGTATAACTAAAGTATGTGTTTATTTTTTATGTAATTCAAATTATAATGATGAGAAATCTAATTAATATATTAGTATTTACTAAAAACTGTTTTTCAATATGCTCTCATTCTTAAACTATTAAATTTACATTAATGACTACAGTCTTTGCGGGTAATCGATTCCGTCAATATACGGCACTATTTAAAACTAGATTTATCGAGTACTTTAAAATCGTATTATCACAAAACTTGACTGTATCAAAGAAAAAAAACGTTATTTTTTGTAAATATTTTTTGAAACCGGACTAATCGAAGATATTTTAATTTATAAAGGGAAAAACAATGATTTATATAAAATTAAAATTGTGTACTAATTTATTAGAATTTATATTTTTTTTTAATAGAAGATATAAATAAATCAAAACTGTAGAAATACGAACTTCGTAACTGATGATTGAAAGTGTATTAGAGATTTAATTGTAAGTTTGTGTTAAAAAAAATTGTAACGTAGAAAGCAAAATGAATCGATTCATTATTGATGACAGAAGAAACTAACTCCTGTTCATTAAAGTACTTTGATAATAAACCTGACTGATAAATCATCGCGGTGAAACGTAGTAAGTTTGTTAGGAATAAATATCTCCGGCATCAGTAGATTTTTTTTGTATATTGAAGCATCGATGTGTTGGTGTATGTTTCCTCTCTGTATGGTGGGTGAGTGTGTGTTTGTATGAGAGGAAGAGAGTGAGAAAGATATGATGGAATATGGCAATGACACCCACACCGAAGCTATCCTCTCTATCCGATATGCGCGCACAGGGCTCTATTTTGCGCCCTCCAAGTATAAAAGCTTGGGATGGTGAACGCGTGCGATCACATACCATCGCGAAATCGACACAAATCAACAAGCATACCAATAATACACTGTGCACAATTCCACTCATATCAGGCATAGCTGTCATACGTTTGAGACGTTAACTGTTCGAAACTATCGCTGCAGAGAAGATCTCCAATTTCCAGTTGCTGTTTTGTGCTTCCAGTTGCAGAAGAAACGTAAGTCGACTATTACCATACCAAATATTAAACATATTCATCTACAAGCATTCATATAGATTAATAATTTATTTAACCATCTTTAATATAAATTAATTTTTAATATAAAAGAAAATCAATATAGTAATTAGACCATAAATAAACAAATATTCATACAATTTAACGATTTTTTGCAAAATTAATTGCAAAAGTATAAAATTCTCAATAATATGTGTAAAAATATAAAATTTATCAAATTTTTTACAATAATTATTTTCTTTTTGGTGTATTTTTATTCAAAATGTACCTTTTTGTATTAATTTATACAAAATCTAATTAATTTATCTAAAATTCTAATTACTCTTTATAGTAGTAGTATTTATATGTAAAAGGATTATTTCGTATATTTTTATACAAAATATATCTAGTTAAGATGTATTTCTATATTAATTATAACAAAAAAAACATAGTTCTAATTAATTTATGAAACAAATTTAATATCGAACATCGCCTGAAGCATTGAAACATTTTGCACGAAAAGAAATTTTGCATTAATATACGCAAATGTATATAAAAATTGTAATTTCAAATTGTTTGATTAAAGCCAATCGATACTCCAACATCCTGTTTTCTTAAAAAAAAACAATGGTTAAGTCTTTAATATCGATATTATAACAATATGATTACTTCATTACAAAATTAACTGTTGATTTAAATACTAAAATTTTATTTCATTTATGACTAAAAATCTATAATTTTAATTTATAGACTCATTTTTAACAAAAAAACATATAATTGACATACTTCAATGTATTTTAAAATTGTTTGATAAAAAAAAGTCAATCAATTTTTCAATATCCTGTTTGGACGTCAACAATGTATGCGTAATATCGAGATTATATTTTTTTTTTAAAGCAATATCTTGTGTAGTGCGGCTTTGATCAGTCTCTCACTATAGTGAAATTTTAATAAAACCAAATAAATAAATTCTAAAAAAAAAATTCACAAAATTACACAAAATTATATTTGTTTAAACACGATTATCCGCAGTATTTCAAACAAAATAATGTTAAAGAACAAAATGTTACTTTTATACAAGAAATTAGTAGTATAAATTAGTATTGATTTATGACTTTTTCAACGAAAACACAAATAATAAATTTCAAATAGCTATAAATTTAAAAAAAAAAACATTTAAATGTATGCATATACCCGATAATATGCATAAGATTGCTATCCTGATTTATATTTGACGGAACAAGAAGGACGAAGCAATTTTCCAAGGAAATTAGTTACTGTACACCAATATTGTATATTACTTAAACTGCCTTTTGCATATTCCATTCATAATTTTCTTTATAATGAATTCTGATGAATTTGTTTTAATTAAAAAACATAGTGTAGAAAAAAAATGGTTGATAGACCGAAAATTATACTTCGTTTGCAGCAGATCAATTTGATTTTAATTTTCTTATTATGTTATTTTATTGAGTATGTAGTAGGGTGATTTGTTGCAATAAATGTTGTTATTATTATTAAAATATATAGTAATACCTGTTTTTGTGCGGTAGATGCCGCATAAAATAAATCGGACAAAAAAAAATAGAAATTTTCATAAATTCTTACATATCACAAATAATTTTGTATAATAATATATTAGAAAATACGTCAAAGATTTACGAAATACACTATAAAGTGCATTCAAACAAAATAATTAAATTATACATGGAAACATATAATTTCCATTGCAAATATGCACTGCTACTCATGTTAATCGAAAACGCGCATCTTCTTGTGATGAATTGGTTCAATCGACTAACAGAACAACTGTACTGATAGAAAACATTACAATGGTGCCAATGCCATTGGAATTGGTTGGATTTCATACACAGCATAAAAAAAATCGCATAAAAAAGAACCGTACAAAAACAGTTTGTACTGTACATTATTTAAATTATTTTACATTACAATTGCATTTATTAAATTTATAATTTTTTATTAAAAAATCATTAATGCTTATCATAGATTTATAAATTGTTTGGATTTATAAATGGAACTGATTAATCTAATTAGATTTAAAATTTAAAAAAATGACATTTTTTTTTGTATCTTTCTAGATTATACATGTTTGTGCGTAAATAAGAAAATCTTTAGAAAGAAGACACCGAAGTAAAGTGCATTTTATAATAAAAATCTTAAATACGTGTATTAATTAAGGTTGCGTAAGAAAAATGGATGAAAATGCGTCTTACACTCAAATAACAATTTATTATTAAAATAATAATAAGATTGGTCGAAAAGTGCTTTTTGTTTAATTTTAACTTTTGTATTATTATTAAAATAAACTTAATAATTATTAATTTAAGATCAGAATAAGTTTATTATTTAATTATTGGCTGCAAACCGTGCTGATGATACTAATACTCTGTTTTTGAAGAGATTATAAATGACAGTTTAAGTAGTTAAGTGATTTAATTGTAATTTAATTTCCCTTATCAGTTCCAAGCATTTATTTGGCCAAAATTAAATGTTAAGAATAAATTTCTAATTAAATGATAATCCTCGGGATTAAAACGATCAAAACTTTCCGTTTAATCTCGAAACAAAATATAAGAAAGTCGTAATACTTTTCTTCATTATTAAGAAATTTATGTAGAAAATCGCATTCAATTATATTGTATTGAATTTCTCGCTTATTTTTTTTTCTAAATATTAATACAATGTAATTTAAATAGAATGAATATATTTATTTAAGCCTTTTTTATTAATATAAAATTCATGTAATATAATTTAATTTCAAGCCGTTACAGGTAATATTTTCTATAGACATAATAATATATAAAGAGATTGTTAGCTGATTTAATAAAGATCTGAAGAGTAGTCTATAATATTGAAGTACTTTTCTTTAGATCAAAGAAGATAATAATCTCGGTAAGTATTTGCCGAACTCTTAACATTTTCTTTTCCATTTTATCACGATGGAACATAACAATACCATTATTATAATTAAACTACAAAGATATCGATTAGTATTCAATAACAAAGCTATTCCATAATTCAACTACCATAGATCAATATTTCTCATCTTTGACGTTCATATTACCAGAACTGAAGCGTTGGAACCAACGCTTTACTGTTGCATTCAATACTGTATTGGGTTCATAAACAACACACATGTTTTTGGCCGCTTGCTCCTCTTTACCCCTTGATCCTAGTGATGCTAAAGAATGTATCGAATTTTCTCTTTTTTATCTCCATTTTGGAGCGCTCTAACACACAACTGGATTCACTAAGCACAAAACTGTCAAAGAACTTTTTTTAAAGCGTTATGTCGACTTTAAGTCGCAGTATAGAATGACAAGATTCAACGTATACATCGTGTGATATGGCTCACTAAAGCTTTCTAACGAAAAACGCTCAGAACTTTTTACTTCACCTAATATATATGAAAGTTTTTAAAGATTTATAATTAATATTAATTAGCTAAAAAAACAATAATGGGATTGTTTATATGAAAATCAATTAATTAATTTCATATTTGAATTTAATTAAATTAAACTCTTATAAATTTGATAATTTTTCTGCATTATTTTCGGAAGGTAGTTCAAATTTCTTTAATCGTAAACTTTGTAGGCGAGAAGCATTTGATAATATAATCGAATGGCGTAAGGCACGCAATATTAATAGAATTTTATTGGACATTTGAAGGAGAAAACTGTCATCCTATAAATATTTAGAGATAATGCGGTTAATCTCGAGACGAATTAAGAATTTAAATCGTTCATAATAAAATTGCCGAATGAAGAATTTTATTTTGTTGAAACCTCTTCTCCGAAACAAATCCAAAAAAATTATTTAATCTTTTTCATTATATCCATTTTACTATGGATTATCATCAATTCACAAAAATTATAAAATCATTTCTGGTATTAATTATTCTAAATATTAGGGTTGTTGAATAAACAATTCTTCAATTTAATCAAATGTTTAAGAATGTAAATTTAATAACAGTTATTCATTTCTCTAACTACGGGAATACCTCGCATAGTCAGGGTTTAATCGGACTGTTTTAAACCAGACTAATTAAGGAAATAGAGACTTGACTGTATACAGATAGAAACGATAATTTACGTATACAAAAATATTGTGTTATAACTTTTTACAATTTATATTTTTGAATTAAAAATAATTTCTTTTTACACAATTTTTTCATTAATCAAATATTTAAAGTTATTAAACTACTGCTAGAATATTTAAGTTGATACAATTAATTAAATTTTCATATAAAACATAATGAGAAACCTAATTTTCATTTTTAACGAAGCAGCAGCAAAAACCCATTTTGTTTAGTCAAAATATAGAAACGTAATATGCTTTTCGCTCTGCTTTAGCTATTTTGAGTGTCATTTTCCATAATGGATCCTTGGAAAGCTGAACACCACGAAGATAAAATATAATTACTAAAAGCGTGTCCTGTTTATGTTTACTTGCATCGTTCTAGTAGAGTGCACCGGATTTACCAATAACTCATTCCATTTCGAACAACGTAAAAAAATATATATATGAATGTAATCTCTTTACATCTAAAATAACGCAAAGCCCGTGGAATCATAAATAAACCGCTCGACTTGTCAAGTAATAAACTTCGTAATCTAAGTTACGAAATTCGCGTTAAGTAATGATACACTTTTTTACTTTATTGTGTACGCCATAAATTATATTTCCAATTATAAAAGGAGATCCAAAGTTTTTTTTTCTGCTTTCTTTCAAACAACTAAAAAGTCGATATTTGTTATTTGACACTCGTCAATGATGAATTTAAGGATAGAGAAAAAGAAAATATCTTCTTTGAAAAAAAGAAACGACATTTATTGGAAAAGTTCATTTATTGGTATCGAATATCAAGTGCCAATGATTTATTTTTTAGTTGATTGAAAATTATACAGTTTTAATTTAATTTCACTCTATTTTAGTTTCCATGTAGGTCGCATTTCCTATTGATTCTACTAAAACGCACCAAATTTCCGTGCTTTAATTGGACGGTTCCAAAAACCTGTTAATATCAATATTCTCGGTGCATTGCGTAGGTTTAATTGGAAACCTTCGAAAATTGCGCATCGACACTCTTCAATTAATGTGGAACATCAAAAAATTCAATCTCATCAGCATATTTTATAGCACAGTACAACTGCTAATAAACCAACTGATAGCCTAAATTTATCAATTTATACGATATACAGAGGGTGTAGAAAGCAACAGGTCTTCACTCGATTGCCTAGCCATTCTATTTCGAGTCTGGCTTCCACAAATCCCACACAAATCGGATGAAAACAACCTGATTATTTTGGCGCACCTTTTTTTTGCCATGCACAAAACTGAATTTCATCAGAAACAACAAATTAATTACTGAACCGCGCCTTTTTAGTGAACGCCCTTTGTGGTGGAAACGCTCACACATTATTCATAATAAACTCGTACGAAAATACCAAAATTTGCAATTCAGAAAGATAATACAATTTATTTATTGTTGGAACGTACAGTTTTCGCTACAGCTAATAATAATATTTATTTTAGTAATTACAGGTAATTGTTAAATATTGCTTTAATTTATTACAAAATTACACCCGGCGCATCCACATTGCCTTTAAATTAGCATTGAATCTTATTTTATATACAAAATAGTATTCCTAAATAACAAATATTAATTAAATTTATAAATACAAAAAAAATGCATCAGTTTTTCAAGGAAAAACATATTTCATTAAACTAATTTACTTAAACCACCGAACAGGAAAGTCCTAATGCAAATAAAAAAAGGGTTTCTAGGAAAAAAGGTCACAAAATTTATTACCATGAAAAAGCTAATAAAGATCTTAATTAAGTAATACAATATATAAGCTTCCTAGAGGAACTAGAAAAAATAAATTTGTGGTTCCGACAGAACAAAAAATATAATTTAACTGTCTTCTTAATTTACCACAAAGAAAGTATAAGATAGAAACACGATGAAATAAATTGTATTTATAAAGTTGACTAATTAAGTTTATGTTACTTACTTCATTCAATAAACTTTTAAGTAAGCTAATAAGAGATACAATGGAGCAATGTGTTATAAATATTAGAAATCGAAGGATCAATGAACGAAAATATATAAATAAACATTAATTAAAATTATTATACGTAATTCATACAATTAGTATCTGTTATTGACAAAATAAACCAAATAAAATAATATATTATAACTATGAGAAATTTAGAATAATTTTATATTTATTAAAATTATTTAATAATTTTAAATAAATTATTCTTATCTAGTAAAAATTAATTAAATTTGAGTTATTCAAATAAACGTAATTAAATTTAATTAAAATAAAATATATTGCTCAACAACTCGTAATGCTTGAGTGCATTCAAATAATCCCGCTTTTATTTAAATACGTTTATGTATTCATGATTTCTATTATTTGCATTTACTTTGAACATGCAAATAAAATAATTGACTTATTGTTTTATAAGCAAGGATACAAAAGGGAGTAAATATTATTCGTTGCAAAACGAACATTTTTTCATACCGTTCATTAATTAAAGCTAAAAATAACCTTTTTCCCTTTATGAATTTATTTTATAAAGTTTATTAAATTTATATATGCGCTAAAATATACTACGAACTATTCAAAATTTAATTATTTACTTTCATTGTAATCGAATCTCAATACGAAATTAAAGTTTGTTAAATTTTGGATTGAATATTAATCAGGATTACGAACGAACCTTTAAAAATATTTGTCAGCATTATATAAAAAAATAATTATTTTATAAAGCTAATTTAAAAAATGTAGGTAGTTATTAATATACACTGCGTCATAACAATTATTCAATATTTGGTTACTTTCTTTAAAGAATTACAAAATTGATTCATTATTATTTTTTAAATTCTTAAAATTGTAATTAAAATTTATTTATATTAAATTTGTAATTAAAATTTATTTGATTTTACGTACTAATATTTAAAACTTCAACTTACAGCATTTTTTCAAATTTATATTATTATTTCAAAAACTAAATTAATAAACCTTTAGTTTATTACAAATTATATAATTTATTTTAAAACTAAATGATTTCATTTAATGTATATTATTCTGAGGAGTAGCGTATTTAGTCCTTACTAAATTTGTATCTAAAGGACTTCGTCATGTTGAAACTGTTTACTCGATATTACCTAATACTGTTAGTGCGCATTAAAATTAGATGCTAATCCCAGCAATACAATCGAATAGTTTCATTTTAATTAAGTAATGAATAGTTTAAGTCGATAATCTTGGAAATAATGACTCAATTCATTGATTGAATTAAGAAAATTAATAATTTTCGATTAAAATTTTGATTTAATATTGCATAATTTAAATGTAATTTTATTTTTCAGGAAACAGAGCATGGTGGGCTGGGTGACAAAAGTAATAGCTTTGGCGACATTACAATATATCGCTCCATCGTATGGCTCTCCATTGCCACTGGACGTCGACTCTATTAATGGAAACTACTTAGATGCGGGCTCGTTTGCCCCTGCAGACGTCGTTTCAGGTAAATACATGCAAACTAGATTTTATATAAATAGATTTCTTGACAATAAGTTAACCTTAAACTAGTTAGTTAAGAGGCAGAGAAATAACGTTGAATAAACTTAATTCCACTGTAATGATCCATATAACCTTAATGGTACGATTCATGAGGCCACAATAAACAAGTAAATAACTTTTACGTCTTGCTGACTTTATTACAAATCATCCCCCGCGCGGTTACATACCGAGTAGCTCTGCGGGACATCTATTAAAGTAATTGAATTAGATTATGATTGATGTTATTTATTAATATGTTTTTATTAGAATCTAGAAATATTATTAATAGGACTAGATGCGAAAATCAATTATAATTAAAAACATAGATGTATGTTGAATGTTAATTATAATTATGTATATTAACTTGTTCCAGATCTGGGGGCAGTCGAAGGTCTGAACGAGGATGAGAAGCTGCAGCAAATTGGAAATTATCTGACCGAGTTGCTGCTGCTGCCTTGGAACGGGAAAGGATTGCCGATACTTTACGTGGAGGACGAGTCGGAGGACAGAAGTATTTATGACGGAATGGATTATTCTCAAGGTTTTGATCAAGAGATGGCCCATAGAGCGCCCTTAAAGAGATCCCGATTCTACCGCAAATATCCGTGGAAGAGGCAGAACGCCAGGGCGTGAGTAAATCCCTTTATCGTCGCACTCGCATGCACCGCCTGATCCTCAAATATTGTTCCAAATAAACGGGCGACAAAATTAACTCTTGAAATAGGCCATTGTTAATTTTAATTAAATGCCTGTCGCGTCAAAAACGAGCAACAGGTCCACGCATAATAACGTGCACACCCAAAGCAGTTAATTAGTTTGGTTTTTGTAATATATATTTTTTTTTCGAAATCTTATGATTAATATGATCGGCTTCTTTTCAGTTACGACGCCGAAAATCGTTACTTGTGTCAGCCCAGCAAGGACGATGTCTTTCGATTAATTATCGCTCTGCACGACACGCGCGTTGGCAGCAAAGGAAGAACCATCAACTTCTGCAACAGGAAGCGACCGGCCACCGTAATCTTCAGCAACATCCGGTTCCTCGGCTGAAACGAATTGCACGCATACACAGAAGAAGAAAAAACGACTGAACTCCCGAAAATATAGGAAATATTTATTTTTCTCGAATCTAAGACAGTATTAAAATGTTTATGCATATCGTAAATAATCAGTCCATAATTAAGCGAAATATAAATAATAATGATGATGATTCCTCACACGTAGAAAGCTTCGTTTCTTATTTCAAATCTAAATCCTTAAAGACTGTTTTCAATGTTTCTCTCGATGTACAAGTTTCCTTTAAATAACTTACTGTATATTATATAATAACTATGCGTATAAATGAGATAGTTACGAGTTTCCAGATTACAGAATAAATTTGTTATCACATGTTATCTCTTTGAATTCAATGTTCTCAACTGTAGCGGCATTCCTGAATTTTAACTCCAGCTTGTCTGTTCCATTATATGGCACGTCTGCACAAGAACGTTATTTAATCTTACTGAAAAAAATATATCCTTACTTATACTTACATATTGTACGTGGTGTAATAGCGTTGCACTCGAGAACTTCACTTTTATTCAAAATATAGTTGCAAAATGATTCACTGGTGTTTGACGATTTCAAATTCATTACTACTCCGCACACATCTAAAACTCCCACATCCTACATTTAGAAAGAAAAATCAAATCTAACGAAAATCAATTACCTTTCAAATCTTTCCTCAAAATCACGTTTACTTCATCCACAACTTCCACTTTCTTAAAACCACCTTCATTGGTAGCATTATCAAACAAAAGCAATCTTTGCGCCGGAGGAATTATATCTACAAGAAATTAAAAAGTTTACTACAAACTATTGATACTTCAATTATTATACCGCAGCCCTCAATTTGCTGACCGCTTAGGTGTAATTTTAATCCTGTCTGAGCTTGCGACGAAACTTTATTATAGAGAATCTCAATTGATCCCTCCACAAATTCCAAACTTACTAAAATTAAAATCAATTATAATCATTAATTAATATCCAATTATGTATTCACTCACAGGTTCTGCCAGCTAAGTTCCCGCAATATTTTTGATTATTTATAAGTAAAAATTCAGATTCGCATTGAAAATCAAATGATATTAAACTAAGATCCAATTGACAAATTTTCTAAAAGTAATTTTCATTTTAATCTATGTTACTTTTCCATTCAAAAATTATACCTCTGAACTTCTTTGTATAACAAATTTACACACGTCCTTCCCATAATCGTATATATCTATGGTAAAATACGGATCCATAATCTGCCTTGAACACGGTTTCTCAGTCGTCGTTGTCGGCGGTGGAAGAGTCCAGTGAGGATTTGGTTGATAACCGGAATTATAACAAGGTATTTGCTCGTAAATTCCTCGAAATCCTCTCCCGTTATTTTGGGAATCAGTAATAAATCGAATTTCTTCGTAGTGTTTACCGGACATATCAAATAAAGCTTAAAATCATTAAATTAAATAAATATTGTTTTATAGTAAGATAAATAACTTTAAAGAAACTTACTAAAAGTATTTGCTAAGCTTTGTCCGCAATATCTGTAGTTCCCGTTCAATTTTAGATAATCTTTTCTACAATCTATGCTATGTTCCAATTGGAAATCTAATATAATCAGTCGAATTTTACAATAACCTCTCTGTTTTAAAAATCTGAAATTTAATAAATTATTATTATTATTATAAAATGTATTGATCTTTTCGACCAAAAGGCTATCAAGTGAAGTATTTCCGCTCTAAGAATTGTAGTATTTAATTATTGGTAGTTTTGAATTTTTACCTGTAACAGATGTTGGAATTTTTCGGATAATAATATGGATATCCTGGACTTTGAAAATAACCTTTAACAAATGTAAATTCCTTGCATTGCGATCCACCTATACTGTGAGCTATTTCGTTGCATTTCGTCATTTTTGCCCAGAGAGGATCCGAATTTAAAAGATTCCAATTAGATATACCCCATTCAGAGCATTTCTCAATATCATAGCCGTTCGTACATTGCGGTTTCAAATCGAAAGTGTCCAAATAACTAGTTTCCTCGACGTCTCTCCGTCTGTTAAATTCGCTAGGATTAACGTCGTCGTCCAAATCATATGGAGCATCAAAGAAATACACGTGTTTAATCACTTTCGGTTTAAAGCCGAAATCAGCAATTTCGTATTTCTCGGAAACGTTAAGTGGGTTTAATCTTTTTTCAGAATTGAATATTTGGGTTTGTCTTGCGTAACGTTTAGGACACTCGTCTTGTATAATTTCAATGACAAATCCAGCAAATCCTTCCCGTCTTGGAATTGCTTCGCTTTTAAACCGAAATACTTTCGTGTTTCCAAAGGATCCGTCGAACGGTGAAACCAATTTCATGCCAGTATGACAGCCGCAAATCAATTTTCCATCAATCTGAAGATATCCTTGAGTGCAGGCAGCGTCCGGCACTCCCACCCAGAAAAATTTGAAATGCACTCGGATGCGACAAATTTTAGGATTCGCTCGGAATATTGTGAATTGGCAATTCGATGGATTTGTCATCGACGGAAAACCTGGACTTGCAATATAAAACCGTCTGGTGTTATATGTCGATGCGCAACAGGCCGGTTCTTTTGTGTTCGGATGAAATCCCGCTGATGGATACGGCGTGTAACTGTAAACTGAAACACCATTTGTTGTTGATTCTGTCGCAGGAATAATAGTATTTGCAATTGTCGTTGTTGTTGTGGGATTTATCGTTGTGATTTCAGTGCGACAGATCGATCTGGATACCAGAATTCGAAATCCTCTTGCGGAATTAACACCATTCGAAATAAAATTTAAAATCAATGTTCCCGTATCTGCGGTATAAGTCTTAATGCCACTCTTGATACCACAAATAGCATCTTTATCCTTAATTTCCAATCGGTCGCTCACGCAACCCAGCGAGTTTTCCAGGTTGAAATCCAAGAACTGAAGGGTGTAATTACTTTCACAGTAAGGACCTTTGAAGATGAAAAGGCAATTTAGATTATTAGGATAATTGCTGGGGTAGTTCGGGGTCTCGATTATAAATTGTAATTTAGAGTAGATTCCACCACATGTTTGCACTTCACCGCTCAATTTAGACGAACTCCTTTCGTTACTTGTACTATTCCGAACGTCATAGGATTCATTTAATTTGGACTCATTCTTTGCGCCATTCCGAATGTTATAGGACTTGGAGGATGTCACGAGGAAGACGAGAATAAACGCGTTCCGAAGCATCATTCTTTCGGTACTGCTCTTTCTGGAGGCGAGTTTGTCTTATTTAATGTTAGTCCGCATGTCATAAGTTTCACACTTAAAACAAAGGTATACCACTTCCTCAGGAAACAACTGTTTGGCGATGATTTCAGAGATAAGCAATTTGAAGAGAGCATAACCGTGACCCATAAACTCGAGACTCGAAATATGCATATGTGGGTTCCTTGCTTTTCTTTTCCACTTTTTTTTTCTTCTGTTCTCTGCGTAAGATAATTATCGGTTTCCGTGTGTTCGCAAAATTCCATGTACAAAAATATTTAACAAGACATCATTGCACAATCTGCATACATATACAACAATGATTTAACTCATGCAAATATTACGCAATCAACTAACATTTAACCTTAAGAAATGGTATAAATCATTCTTCAAACACTTAATTAAAAACTAATTAGGTAAGTAACGAATAATATTCACATTCTCCTAATATGAATTAATAAATTATAATCTTAGTTAACTAAATATTTTATTGAAGATATACATTTTACAATTTACTTGCCGCAATATTCCAAAATTATTGCAAGTTGAAACTCAGAAGTAGATAACGTTTCACATTACACCGGAAATTAAAAAGACGTCTTACAACGTCTATATCATACATACGATATATCTATTTCTACGACAAACATACAAATTCGCATAACTTACTTCAAAAAAAGTTATGAATTAATTACATTCATATTTTAATAATAATATCATAAAATATAAATTTCTTAAACAACATAATATACTTTTACTCTTTAATTTATTGATTACATACTAGTACTGTAATTAAAAAAAATATGAATATAAAAGTAAAAAATATATATGAAATCAGTATTAAAAAAAAATAAGTAGTAATTTATAATTTGGAAACAAAGTTTTTTCTATGAAGTTCCGCATATATAATTCCAGATGGCTTATCAACTGGTAAGTAGACTTCGTTATTATCATGACCATCGACAATTTCTTGAGGAAATTTACTCATATTAACCGGAAAATAATGCTTGTTTGGCATTTGCATCTCGATACGACTAATCTGTAAAAAAAAATACTGTCAAATTATTTAATTGATAAATTATCGAAAAGTTTACCTGAGGAACATTATCCAAAATCATTTTTTCAGCTAGATACAATGTGTTTTGTACAGAAGGCGAGAAAATTCCTTTTTCAGGATCACCAGCAAACTTATCCAAAACGCAATCTTTGATTGCGCACCAAACATCATCAAAATCAACACCGTTTGCAGTTGAGTAATCCCAAGTGGAGGATACTACTGTGCTAAAAATGCGGTCATTTGCATCCGGCAAGGTGCGATAACCATCTTCAATGAAATCTTTGAATGCCGATTGAGTTGTTTTCAAGATTCGTAAATTTTTCAGTCCTCCGCTAATTTGAGCGATTTCTAAAACAGCGAATTTGCATTAGTTTTAATGTAATCAATAATAGCTGCTAATGAATCAATAAATAATCTGAAGGATATTATATCACCGAAGTAACAAAGTCCATACTGTTATCTATCAATGCACGAGATGTGTAGTAAAAATAAAAAACGTAAGTCACGAGACTTTTTATCATGCTATTCACAAAGACGTTATTATAACCGGTTTAGTTTGCATTTAATCACATGCTTACCGTTTCGTTTATGAACGATTTGTGCTAATCTAATTGCACTCGGGGAGTAAACGAATGCGTGATTATGGGCTTGCCCTTCGGCCCTTAATCTTTCCCATGGATACTCTTCCAATTTTACTCCAACTTCGACGACGTGCTTATAAGTGTTCAAGAAATGCGAACACAGCAATAAACCAAATTCTTCTGGGCTTTTAATGCCGTGCTTCTTTGCCAATACATACACTGTATTCTTTTGGGAATCCGTTGCTATGATCTGCCTATTATCGCCCTCCAAATAATCGTTTTGGGTGCTCAAACGAAGGTACACATCTATTTCGTATTCTCTGATCTTATGAAGTGAACCCTGTCTATGGACGTGAAGAAGTTTAACGTGATTTTTTCCATATCCATAATTCCCAAATGCGTATTTCTCTCTCTCGTCCATATTTTCAATATCTTTGATTTTTTTATAATTTAAATTACTAGTAGCATCGTTCACTCTAAAATCAATTTCAAATTTTATTATAAACAACCCAACAACTTTATTACAAATGTAAATACATATTTATTGAAGGTATAAAAAGTCTTGTAAAATGTCACAACATAATTAATAAATTAATAATTACTTTCATATTTTAATAAAAATATCGCTTATATCTAGGATTCACTGATTTATGATTCGCATAAAGTCTGACAATGAGAAGAGAAGTCCCGGATTGCGTGCCTGCTACATCATTTTTAAAACTTGTGTACACATATTATGTGTATTTTTTAATATGTTTCACTATACGAGTAAAAATCCGGAAATTTTTGAACGGATTAAACTGGTTAAGCAAGATTATATTTATTAAATTAAATTACCTTGTAGGATTTGACCATTTACTCGAAGACATTGCCATGATATTAACTTTGACAAAGTCGGAACAAGACTAAATCTATAGAATACATAAGTCTCTGATCATATACCAATGCCACTCTTATCACTTATTTGTTTTCTTAAACTCAATTAATATTATCATAGATAATCATTCCAGCATTTAAAAGACCTAAAATCTTCAAGGTTTGTTTGTAAATGTAATTAATGTTCATTGAAAAGGACACGTTCAATGTACAAATATTTCATAATATGTGGGAAATCACATTAATTTTCAAACAAAGAAGAATCTAGATTGAACTTGAAAGATTATTTTAAAATGTTTAAATTAATGCAATTAAAAATAAAAGAAGCGAAACAAAAATTTGTATTGATAAAACATTCAAGAATCAAAATAAATGATTAAATTGTCGTCATTGTTAATATGCAACGAAAGCAATTTTAAAATAGTCATATAAGTTGTCTATTTTGTATAATGAATTGTATATGCAACCAAATATACAGTTATGAAATAATTTATAGACGTTATATTTGGAATAAGACAATCATGCTATGGTCATCGGTATCATAAAATCTGATACTAAATGTGACAGATTCAAATTTGACCAACAAAAACAATCATTGTGCAGAAATAGATCCCTAAACATACGAACAAAAATTATAATTATTGATTAATATTGATCCTAATTATGTAAACAACGAATTTATCACTTGAGAGACCACAGGCACAATTCAATTTTGAGATCTATGCATTCTGAAATTTTAATTACAATAATTATATTTCTATATTTATTATTAAACAAAAACATATCAAAGCGCATATTCGAAACTACAGGTATCCCCCGACTTACGAACTAGTTCCGTTCCAAAGTGTTCGTAAGTCGAAGGAATTTTAAAAATTTCAAATATCTTACTACATTTTATTATGGTTTTTACTTTTATATATGTTAAATTCAGTATTACTGACTGCAATAATTTTGAAAATATGATTAATATTAACAAAGTACTTACTTACAAATACTTTTCAATGTAGACATCACAATTATTTAATGCTGTATTTATTTCTTCTTCTCGTGATTCCGGTGCAACCACCTAGCGGGAACTATTTATCTCTTCTTCTTTCTGCCTGGAGAATTTCATCCTTTATAATACTTTTAACATTGCATCGACATAATTACGCCAGCTTTGTACTTATTCAAGGTTCTAAAAAATAGGAAAGACCTTATTTTATAAGGACAATTAACTTTATTTCGTATTATATGCAACTTTTATATCGCATCAACATAATCCTAACATACATTATACCGAAGCAAAATAGAGGACTACCACGCAAAGTGCGGATAATTTTCCAGCACTGTCTGAAAACGGACTAATCGAGAACTTTGAAAACGTATAAAAATAAACTGCACAAATTTTATTGCAACAATAAATTACAAAATGAAAACTCAACACAATAATAAAAATAAAAAGTCAAATTGGGAAAAAAATATTTTTAATTTTCCATAATTAAAAATTTAATTTGTTTTAAAATATTCTAACCACGTCTATTGAAATCCCGACGTTCGATTTCCTGAAGTATCGAAATCCCGACGTTCGAAATCCCGACTATATCAAAATCTCAACAACCAGAATCTCGACAACCATAATCCGGACAAACATAATCCCGGCTATATCAAAAAAATTTACAATAACATTTTAAAATTATTTCGGAGCGTAGTCACCTTGTGCTACACTTTTATTATTAATAACAATAAATTATTATTAATTTATTTGATTTTGTTGAATTATTCATAATAAACCCTAACATTATGAAATAAATACAATTAGATTAATTGTTATTATTTATTATTAATAACAATTTTAAAGTCACTATGCTCCGGAATTATTTGAAAATGTTATTGTAGACATTTTCGATATAGTCGGGATTTTGATATAGTCGGGATTTTGATACAGTCGGGATTATGGTTGTCGGGATTTTGATACAGTTGGGATTTCAAACGTCTGGATTTGTATACAGTCGGCATTTCAAATGTCGGGATTTCGAACGTAGGGAATTTGATTGACGGTATTTCGGTTGTCGGGTTTGCGATTGCCACCGATAATCCACACTTATCGAATCTGTACCATACATGTATTTTTTTTTTATAAAAAAGAGATTTATATAAATTTATTATTGATATAAATCTCTTTTGGCCCTCTTTCTTCCCCCTTTTCGGGTTTATCGGCCGCACAAATGTTGTTGGTTTTTGGGAATCAAATCAACGACCTTTCCTATCGTGATACAGGCGACTAACTATACATATTAAAATTATCCTTTAATAATGTACATTTGGTTGCCTATGTGACAATCCTGCCATGATAAATTGTTGATGAAAAAATGATCAAAATCTCATTTACAATTAATAAATATTGGTTTTAAATTATTTATATTTAGTTACATTATTAATATCACCTTTATCAAGGGCTATTGACCATATGTATTTCTGACCCAATAATAATATTTTATATGATTTTAAAAGAATAAAACCAGATATATATTAATAATATTTATTCGTTTTACCTAATTTTTTACCAATAAAAAATTGTAAATAAATATAGTATTACTTAATTTAAATCATTTCAATTTAATATTAATTTAAATAAAATTAGTAACTTCCAGTTTTTAAGCCTAGTAACATTTGCCAAAGGAACTATTGGTAGTAAACTGAGAAAAAAATAAATCATGTTATTATATTTTCATATATAAATACTATATATTAACTATACAGTGGAACCTCGCTTAATGAATTGTAAGAAAAATGACTCGCTTAGCGAGCGATGTTTCGCTTAACGAGTGATGATGAGAAGAGAAGTGTACACATATTATGTGTATTTTTTAATATGTTTCACTGTACTAGTAAAAATACGGAAATTTTGGAAGCGAGTACTAGATTTCAGTTTGGAGAAATGCATAGAAATATTATCATTTTCTTTATGGGTTAAAACAAATAACACATAAATATTGTAGAATATGTTTCGAAAATTCGTAGAATTATGTTGTAAATATAAAGGTGAAGAAAATTATTTTTCAAGTTTATTGTTCGTGCAGGAAAATTATGCGTTATTTTATGAACGGTGTGAACTGCAATTTACAAATCCATACCGAGATTTATCGATCCATTACTAAGGCAATAGCCTATGCACATGAGTGCAATTGCATTGCGTACAACACATGTTATCTTCATTCGAGAAAGTGCAATTTGTGTGCAAAAGGAGCACTTTAATTGTAATACATAGACATGTATACCATATTTAAAATAAATAACTTTCCATTCTCAACAAATCGAAGATTGGAGAAAAAGGCAAGAAGACCAATTAGTACATGTAATTGATAAATAATAAAAAAAACAAATATACTAGGTAGTGATGACTTTCGCTTGTTTTTGATTCGAATTTGTTTCGGCTTTTTGTTTTTGTCTAATACCGCAACGCCGATCAATCCAACCCAACACACACCATTGACACAAATTCTCCAACAGATTGGAGAGCATTTTTATTATGCATAGAATAGCAGGAGAAGAGCGAGGAATCAATAATATATAAAAAAAAGTGAAACGTCGACCAGAGAATACTCGTGTATATGTGAAACCTTGCATGTATAATAGATTTAAAAGGAATATGAGGAAAAAAGGCTACTGAAATGCGTGAACAAATCGACGCACCGACAAATCCTGTTAAGGGAATTAGCTAATAATTTACTCCCAGCACACACATTTTCCATCAAACAGCTACATAAATAGTATTAAGTCTATTCCATACCTAATTGCATTAGAAAAAAGTTGATCATAAATTTAGTGTTTCACTAAGTTCATGTACTTATAGTATTGTGCAACGTGTTGTTGAGTACACTTATCCATTGTTTAAAAACAAGTTAAAGATAATTGCACTGCTTTTTATATGAATGAGAATAAGAATGATAACATTGCAGACACGATAGTATTAAATTTAGGTCATCGGTTTGTTAGCAATTTACGAAAAAGAAAAAAAAAACTAAAAACAATGTCATTGTCAACAGTTCCGACATCACTAATGGCCATAATTTCTGTGTAATTGGAATAACGCGGTCCATTTATTTATCTATTCGATAAACACGAGTTTCTCTTAATGTTTATATGTATGTAAAAGAAGAGAGAAGCATTCACCTCGCTTCACTTTTACCACAGTAAAATGAAAACGAAATTAATTCTGCTAAATGTAATTAGGTACTTCTTTTTAACAAAATTTCTCTTTCTTCTTATTCAGACCAATTAAAAATATAATATTCGTATGCTTAAACGCTTTACACAAACAAACTTTGTAAATAAAACCTATAGCATTCAATGAAATTCTTGGATGTAAGTTATTTAATAAAAGTTTCATGTGTATATGTATCACGTTTCGATCCAATATATTTTCGTAATTCCTTGAAAGTTATCGAGTAACGCGAAAATGTTAATATAAATATTTATATAATTATAATGCGCCATGCTTAAGTGGAACTAAAGTTGGCAACGTTCTACTATTTCTTTTTTTTTGCATAATAAGAAGCTTATGAAACTGTAACACGAGGATTTTAGTATTTGCTTTAATATCTAAATTGAAAGTGTGAAAAATATACATAGGATCGTGAAACAATATAAAATCAATTTTAGTAACACGTACGTTGATATTTTTTCAATAAATTGTTATTAAAATTATGTTGATATGATTGAAATGATAATCTTAGTGCGTGCTTTCTTTAATACAATTTTTATTTAATATCAAGCACATATGATATTTCAATATTGTTTAAAATCTAAATATCAAAATAATAGATGCAAAATATATCATATTTGCGGGCAGAAAGATCTATGGTCAATAGCCCTTTGTATCAGTGGACTTTTTTTGGAATTATATATATTTATTTAGTTTTATTAATTCTGTAAGTTTTTATTTTGTACGCTGATGCAATAAACATTATTATAATATCATACTTACCAAATTTCTTTACAATTTCTATTCTTTTCTTCTTAGTTAACATATTGAAATAATGCCAATATATATTTTTTATCGTCCTTTTTATTCACTACTGTCCTACAATAAAAACATTCAGTAAATGATCTGGCGGTTGACAAGATTTTAATTGGACAATGTGAT